AGTGAATGTAACAAAAAATAGGTGCACAAAACGCTGAGAACTTTCCGGACAACCTAATACTTCTGAAAGAAAGCTGCCAATACACCAGATGAAGCCTCACGGCTCGGATTGTGCTATAGACTGCTAGATTCAACAGGTGTACCAGATCCTTTACGCGGACGCGAAAGCATCCCAATTTATAAATCGTCAGCTAACTGAAAGGCACATTTCGCGACCGTCTTTTAGGTAAAGGACGTTGAAGGCTCAACTCGCTATAGTAACTCCATCCTTTGATGGTTGCACTCGCATATAAGAGGCGTTGCGTTCACATCTGACCTTGACTATTGTCTCGCTCGGCTCTTTGTTCTTTTATCATTTTTCTTTTATCTCTTTCCTGCGCTCACAATGTCTTTTCGCCTCCCACTTTTTATTTGCTGATCCATAGGTAAAATCGATGACAAAAGTAAGTTTCGTTTATAGTGTTTCCGACGATTTTGTCTGCTTTTTTCATTACCAGTAAGTCAACTAGCATCTATGAACTCGAGTTTCGATCCGTTACCCCCTGGGCGTAATCGCGGAATGTGTCTCTAAGTCCTTGCATCTAGTAAAGTTGCGTCTTCCAAATGTTGAAAGGTCATGCATCGCCATGAATATTAGTGTTTCGCGGCGATTCTAAGTGATTTAATCAATCGAAATTGAAGTCAAGTTTGTTGGTGTGCTTCTTGAGGACTGGCCTAGCTCAGCGTTCATTACATTCTTGGTTATTCTCCTTCTATCGATTGAAGCCAAGATTGAAGGTGTTCTTTCCCTTGGAAATCAAAATGTGCAATAACATGCGCCTCGTGGTCTTTCTGAAGATCCTTTCTGAAGTTCCTATAATATTGATCAATCCCATACTACTTTTCAGGATGTCGACATGACGCAGTCAGTATTGGATGAAAGCGTTCTATTCGACTATAACGACGCTTGGCATGAGGTAGCGCTTCAATTTATCACCTACACCCACATTCGTGCACTTTTCTTTGTCAAAAGAAAAACGTTCCGTGTTCTTTTGTTCAAATAACTTTCCGTCTGTTGGCTGTCTTCTGAACGTATAAACATTAATTAAATTCTCCCCGCAGCGAACGAATGACGCAAAAGGAAATCGTGAAGATGATGAGTTTTCAGGTGAACGGGGATGGAGGAGGAAATCCAATCTCAACAGCGGTCGATCAGTACATGGAACAGGTCACGCTGAAACATCAGGTCAGTTCTCCACAGTAAGTCCTTCTGATGTTCCCTTTTATGTTAAATTTTGTTCAGGAAGATAAGCAAGCAGCTCTCGAACGTCAATATGAAGCCTTCGAGCGCTACATACAGAACCTAACAGCGGGCGGGTCAGTGGTTTTCTTCTTTTTTGATCGCCCTTCCGGCAGAGGGCAGAAATGACGCCTTTGTGTGGAATGGACTGATGCCTCAATCGGTCTTCGCATGTGCTGAGGCCTCGTTTTCGTTTAGCTTTACTCCTTCGACACCAATGACTCCTGGATACGGTTTTGGAACTCCACTTGGCACTCCTGGATCAGCACTTCCACCTTTTCCATTCCCAGCTAATCCGAAGCAGATGGTTCGCAGCAAATTCTTCTACTGGGCACAGAGGAAGTAAGAGAATTTCTCAGCGTCTTCTCAAAATAATTAAAATGAATTTTTCGATATAATTAGTGATTTCAGAGAGGAAATGTTTGCTGAATCGTTGAAACGCTTGAAAAGTGATGTGATCCGCGCCAACGCTCTCACTCGTGAAGCGAACATGATCAGTCGTGAGCTTGGCAACAGTCGTAGACAGACCACCTACGACGTGACTCTCCAAATACCAGCAGCAAACCTTAGGCCAAGCAAAATCAAGGTGAGCACTGCTGCTGTGAAAAATGTTGCGGAACAATGTGACAAAACTTGCTGCGAATAGGGGCTTAGATTTTGCATCTGGGGAGGTCTGTAGTTGAAAATGGAAGAGTTCGAAGGTATTTCCCCATCGCATCTAATAATCGAGCGTTTGTCGAGAGAAGGAAGGGGAAGAGGGAAGAGGAAGGAAGGGAGAAAAAGAAGGAATGAGGGGGAAAAAAGGAAGCAGGAGGGAAGCTCCGCGATTGGCAAGTATCCTGAGACGACATAGAACAAGGCGGTTACGTGACTGGAACTTTTTTGTAGGGTCCTGATGCGAAATCCCGACACATAAATTAAGGGCAGCAACTGTCAGAGATTTGCAAGATGCAAAGAAACATATGGTATGTCCGAGTATAGGCTTTTTCAAGAGGATGGGAACTGAGGAAAGGGGACTGAATGGGTTGAAAGTCTGTCAATTTGGCGGTAGTACGCTAGAAAGACGGGAGCTGAAAAAATGGCTCGATTGATTGATTCATGAGTCGATTGTTCGGAAAGATGTTGAAAACGCGAGTATGGCCATGAACCTGGTGAATTTAATTGCTCACTAATTACTACTGATTCTAATCAATTTCAGGCAGGAACATTCGTGTGCGAGCCAGTGATTGTTGTACGTCGTTCGGGTATGAGTGGAAGTCAACTGTGGACCGTGGCACAATTGGAGAACAAGCTAATTGATATGAGAGAAATGTATAACGACAAGTTAAACGGAGTACCGAGGTAATACAGTAGTTAACTGAAGAAACTGTTACAATATTTCACTAACAAAACTGTTACAGAGCGCCATCATGTACGTCAAGCCCCGAAAGCTCCCCATTCCGCTCGCTACCACCGTCATCTCCCGATGAAGTGATGATCGATCCATTTTTCGAGAGTCAGGTTCGTGCTAAGTAAACCTGGTTTCAAACAGCGACAAGAAGATGAAGTGCATAGCAAGGGGTCTTTTTCTGGACAACTGAGGTGTGGCATCGCGCTCAAACAAGCTAGTATTCCTGGCTAGTTGACTCGACACAGCACTTTGGCATCAAATCAAGGGCAATCGATAAAGTGCCTTCATTTTATAAAGCAATGAGTTAACGATATAGGACGTGATCTGACATTACCTAACAATAATTGCGCTTTGGTGCTAGACTGATTTCACTAGGAGTGCTGGTTTCGTGCGGTGCCGCGGATTGGTGAAGAGGAGTTGGACTACATGTGCCAGCCCGTCGCGGTTGAGCGCCCGCCCACCAGTGACTATGAGAGATGCCCCATATTTCAATATTTCTGAAAAAAAAACTGGAATAATTGGCATTCGTTTCAACTTTTGCAGGAACACCATAATCTCATCGGCGTTGCCAATGTTTTCCTCGAAGTGTTGTTTCATGACATGAAACTCGACTATCAGGTAAGCTGTTGTTGTATTTTTCAGAACCATCCGAATTTTCCCAGCTTCTCCAAGGTAGCAACGGTCTGTCATTTGATCGACAGTGCATTAGAACTTAATAAGGGTGTCTTTAGGTTCCGATCATTTCGCATCAAGGTGAGGTTGCAGGACGCCTTCATGTACAAATTTACAGGTAATAAAAATTTATTATAGTAATTATTAATAATATTTGTTTGAACGCTGGTATTTATTTGCTGTTGCGCTTGCAATAATCGTTTGGCTATCCTGTGCGAGGCAAGCCTGTGATTGGTGGCGATGTCAGCGCGCCAGTCGCAAGCTTTCCCAGCCAATTCACTATCCGCAGCAGCCAGTCTAGCCAGATTGCGATGCATAGTTCTGCATACATCAGAGAAATAGAAAGCTAATTTCAGGGTACCAAGTGAGTCTGACGGAATTCAGTCACCTGACCGGGAGTTCAGTGAAGGTCTGGAAAGGGCTGAAGGACTACTGGGCAAAGTGATCACCTGTAGGGTGAGCATACTCATCACATGTAAACGTTATGGTCACAAGAAAATGAAAAAAAAACTTTTCGGGGTTGCAATTCGCGAGCGATGGAATCCATGTATGAAAATGCTTGTATATTCTTTTATGATGTAGTTGAACGTAAAGCTGAAAAAGTCAGGAGAGCGGTTGAAAATGGGTCACAGTAAGGCCTCAGCATGGGCCAGTTTACATATATTCGATTTGCTGTTCTTCAGATGTCGCTAAGGAAGGTCATCCTCAAGGAGCTGCGAAGAAAAACGATTTTTACCTTTGCGTACCTACCCCTTTGCATATAGGGCCCCCGCAGGAATGAACACAGTATGTTCATATTTGTGTATACAGAGACAAAACCGCTAGTGGCACCAGAGGGGTGGGGCAATTTTTGTGTATGGCGTTTCTTTGGCAGTTGATATCCGTAGCGCCCATAGTCACGCGCTGTAGAACCGCTAGAGCTCTACTGGGACTGCTTTTGAGATTGTGGACCGAACTATTTGTACAAAGAAGGGTACTCTTCTATTACGGTAATGTAATCGCGGAATGTATTTCAAATGAAATTATGTGTACTTATTGAATTAGGTGGTTAAATTTTGAGGCTTACATCGATGCTCTTCCAGCGCATTCTTACCAAATGATTGATTGAAGGTGCGCATCAAGAAGGCTTCGTCGCTACCTGAGTCACTGTCGCATTTCGTCTTCTGTCAGTACTCTTTCTTCAATCTGTCCGAAATGCTTGTTGTCGCTCCGGTATTTGACCCATCGGAAGCATCTGAGACTCAAACACAAGCCACTACATTCGTGTTCGACCATGAAAAGGTTTGCCCATTTCATCCTCTCTAAGTACTATACAGCTTCAAATTTATCTTGATTGCAGGACTTCAAAGTTGTCGTGACAGAAGAGCTTCTCGAGTATGTGCAGGATGATGCCCTTTCGATTGAGGTATGGGGACATCGAAACGGGGGCGCACTTGAAATGGGCGAGCCAAGGTTGGATGCCGAAGAGAAGAACAAGTCACTGCAGGTAGGAGAATTAGGATCAGACTGGATACTCTTGCATTCAGTCCACGCCTGTTGAAGATAGTACGACTTTTTTCTCGTGATTTGTTACGCATCTGCACGTCCTTAGATTCCTTCCTGGTGGGTGGCGAACATTTTCCGCCATCCTGTCCATGTGGTTGCAGGTTCAAATGATCTTTCTCTCTGTAACTTCCAGCCATGTTTTGTTAAATTTGTACGGATTCACTTTGGGGGTTTCCCACCAAAGCTACCAGCCGTCCACTCCGATTTCCGGAATTCGGCACTTTCTTCTTTACTGTAAAAAGTTTAGGCGAGATGGTCTGAAGTGTCGAGGCGACTCGAACTGTGGACTGAATTCCGCGAGCTTAGCGAAACTGGCCAGTGGGTACCAGTTGAAGTGCGACAGCAAGAAGACGTGGCTACCGGTGGAGTTCACCAACTCAAGCAGGTAACTCAGCCCTTCTACTTACACTTGATGAACTAACTAATCCACTTTCAGGGTCAACAAAGACGTCTCGTTGTGGGTTTGTCACTGCCACAACATGGCGCTGGTCTGCCTCTTAGTATAGATACGATAACAAGTGTAAGTATTGGATGTGTATGTGTATCTGAAGCGGGTGATCGAAGATTGTTCGATAGTTACCAGGTGAGTTCTATTTGAAGCGTAAGGTTTAGGACTTGTTCTGCACCATTCACTTTCAGGAAGAAGATCTTGAACGACTACGCGCCCAGTGGACACTGGCACTGCAGAGTCGGCAGAAGTACCTCGAACAGCAATTGGACTCGGTTTGTACTGCTTAATGACTATCACACTATCAACTTTATGAGTATTGTGGTCAGAATACCCCTAAGAGCTTTATTATAATGAGATATAGATTTGTACTGCTGCTGTTACAAGGGTTCTCAAGCAGGGCTGCAATGCTTACATCAATGTGCGCGGTTGCGTCGCGACTCCAAAGTAGGAGGCCCTTCGGGAAACGTATCATGTAAACCTCTTCCTGTTATTCCCTGAAACCTCGTGCTTCTCAATGAACTTTTGAACAGAAGGTGACTAGATGTACTAAAAGCGATCCAAGTATCTAAAAAAAGTAACCATCAAAGTCGAGCGCAGGTAGCCCCGGTGGACCATATGCAACTGGGCATATTGAACTTGCCTGCGCTAAGCAAACAGGAGATGACAGGAGAGGAAACAGAAGATGACATCTCGAAAACACTTCTAGATGCCGCAAAGAAGCCATATTCCTGCTGTAATGGTGAATCACACATGTAATACTTGTAATCTATGAACCTGTAGAAATTTTATCCCAAGGTGAACTGATTTCAGCTCTGTTCGAAATCCGCCAAATCCGAAGCAGAACTGGAACGTGAGCATTCGTTGATGGGACAGTGGATATCGCTTACAGAAGAGCGTTCAGCAGTTTCAATTCCTGCTCCGAATTCAGATATACCTGGAGCTCCGTGTGACTGGTAAGTGACCACTTTGCCAACTTTTATACAATTTCCATTTGGCTTCAGCGTTCCCTGGCGAGAGTCGGAAACTCTCATAGGCGCTCTTTTCTGGCCACCAACTCTCTTTCTACCGGTTTCCGATGGGGAAAGGATCGCTACCATTATTCATGATTACAGTGATCTGATCCTTGTATTGCTGTGAGACGGTCTATAGGTAATTTGGGACGTAAGTCCAACTCTCCTGTTGGAAGCCAACACAGCCATCCGAGTAAGGATCTCTGTTGAAGGTGCTGCACCCATAGCCTAGAACTGTGAACAAAAAAATAAGCATTTCGCCTATCCCTATAGCTGCAGGCCTTTCTGGGACTTTCCGAAATTTTGACCAACAATTCAGTCATTTTTCTCTCTAGACCTGTCTCTGAATGTGACTTTCCTTATGTACTTACAGCGAGTTTTCCAGGATTCCTCCCCCTGGTGTCGAGGAGCACGTGCCGGTGTTGTTTCTGGATTTGAATTCGGATGACATGACAGGAGAAATGACAAGTGATGAGGTAAAACCTACGATATAAACAAAATAAATCCTTTTAGGACCGGTAGAGCCCTCTGACAAAGTGCGCCGGACGCTTGTTCTGTTTGGCATAGACTAACGGAGTGGTAGACACTTCTTCGCTGCGTTCATACTTAGCGACTCGGGCGATGACAGTTGATTAGCGATGGAGTGCGGTCTTTGGCAATCGCACTATGGAATCGCTCAAGTCGCAAGCTATGAGCGCGGCCTGATCACCCAAGCAGTAGCACTTTCACGCTCTTGCCCACTGGGGTAACTCCCACCTGGACAACGGTACATGTGTTCCATTTCAGAACACTCCTCGAATTGCCGGGATGCATTCATTTCTGCCGAAGGAGGAAAGTGGCGGTCCATTGGTCATGCTCCCGATCGTGCATTTTGACGACAAGGAGGTACTTTAAGCATTTTTTGAATTCCGTTCGATTCCTCACAAGGGTCTGCTTAGCTGATTGCTACTTGCTCTTGGGACAGTTCAATACACGATCATCCAGCTCTTAATGTCCCTTCATCGTCGAACGAAAAAGTGTACGCGATAGTAAAGGTCAGTTATTAAATTCATCAACTGGATGGGTTTGTTATGTGTTAGTAATGATGTAATGATGAAATGAATGTTTCAGGTCGGTGTACGTCTCTCACATCCGTGTTCCATGGAATTAGTCCTTCGCAAACGGGTTTGTCTCAATATTTACAAGAAGGCTAGCTTAACGGATCGTATTCGGAAACGAATCGTTGGATCGGAGACATTACATCGTACTGCTGTGTATTATGACGTCGTTGCACATCTGCCCAAAGTGAGTGTTACTCACTGTGACCGATTTTCGTGGGTTACCAAAATGGCTTTGATAGCTTCCATACATGTGGGTGGTGCAGGAGATCCAAGCTGTGGCGATTTGTTGGAATTACAATATTGTTTCCCTGCTATTTGAGTCGACACTCCTCGTCAAGTCAGGTCCGCTCTTCTAGTACGAATGCAGCGCGCGCGCGACACCACGTGTGATTCCGCTTCGCCGCAATATGGGTCTCCAACACTACACCGCGCATCCATTACAATCAAAACCCGCCGCGCGCATTCCTGTCACGAAACCAGCAGATCTGATTGACACTTGTCGCTGTAGTTACAATAGAATAATAGTGTCCATGTTAAACTTCTACGATTTTCTCTTTCATTCCGGTTTCCGACAAGCACACAAAACAAGTGAAGGAATCTATCATTGAAAGATATTCGGTGGCATTCAAAGATAATATCTGATGATGATTTCAGTCTTCTCACGACATGGAAGAACGATCTTCGTTAGCGTTAATGGCTGCTCGTCACACGACATCGTCTGAAGACGATCAAAATGCTGTTGGCGATGGTGGCAGGCATTCAAATAGACAGCTGAGGTTTGTTGATTGGAATTCACACACTCAGCTCCTCGCTTTTGAATGCAATCGGGAGTGCGGTTGTGATGCGGCCACGGCTCTGCGGCAGGACAAATGTTATCGATCCGTTGAAATATCCCATCGCTCCGGTGTCTGATCGCTTGGTGCTGCTGCAGAATGACTATCACGACTGGATTAACTCTCCTTTTTCTCAGTTTAAATTGTTTCAGTTATATCGAAGCGTATACAAAGTCCATTCAAGCAGTTGAATCGATGTTGAAATTGGATCGGCTACGGCAAGAGGTGGCCATCACAAACATGCTCAGTCGGTATGACAGTCATTCAATTGCTTCGAGCAAATAAAAATTCACAATATGCTAGAAATATTGCATTTTATCGTATTTCAGGAGAGATAGGCAGCAGCGACTTTCTCATTTTGGAATGCCGAGCCAGTCATTTCGGATGAAACGTGCAGTTAGTCTCCCGAACACTATCTCACTGGTGGGTAATCGTTAAGCGCGTGGTGAAGAAAAGCGCTCCTAGTTTCATCCTGGAACATTACGTCTAAATTGAATGATTGAAAGAGGGTTCGAAAAGTGGGGCGCTGAGCAGGTGTGTGTAGACTCATTATATGGATTTGCCTGGTAAATTGCGCCCTGACCGAATCCACTAAGGTGCTCGCGCGGCGAGCTGCAAAGGCAGCGTTCAGAACTTGCGGCGAGTGCGTCGACGCGCCGTAACGCGCTACCATTGCAACTGCGCTCTGATCCTGTAGATGTGAACGCAGCGGCAGTAGGGAATCGACCGGATCCCCTGTGTTGAGAGAGTGTGGGTTAACCGGAATATACGCGCTGCCTAATCACGCAGTCCGGTATCGATTGGCACTGGCTGCCAGGGCCGCGCCGATCGATTCCCTCCAGCGGCTGCGTTCGCGTCTATAGGGTTGGAGCGCAGTTACAATTGTAGCGCGTTACAAACGTAGCGCTATGACGGGCCTTACAGTGCTTCGACGCGAAGTCTGAACGCTTTCAAATGCGCACGGACGACAGAACGTAAAGATCATCTTTGGCAGAGCTCACCTACCCTTTGTTTTGAACTGCATCACGGTTCAAATGAGGTTTTGGTAGTTCAAGTGGTAGGTTACATGTTTATTGGTAACACATAGCACATACAGCATGACTACAATCATTAAACTACAAGCATAAACATACGAGGCTAAACTACTGGCATATTCGTGTCAAATGCGAGTCAAATTGTGTCTTGTGTTCTTCTTCAGGCGATAGCGGGTCCGCAGTGTCTTGTGTCTCGTCTCCTGTGTTGGCACATCGTGTTCGTTCTTGTCCCTATGTGCTCGTGATGTGGAAGCAGTGAAACTGAGAGAAGAAACCGTGAAGAACTGCGAAGAGGACGAGCGAGAGTGCCCGTAAGGGCCTCAGCGCGCCACTATTTTATTTATTTATTTATTTATGCGTACTGCGACGCGCCCAATTAACAGCAGGTGACGAAGCAACTGAACAAAACTCAAGATTAATCAGAAAAACAAATAAAAAAGCAAATCAATGAAAGGAAAAGAAAGATTAAATAAAAACTACTAGAACTGTATGGCGAAAGCATGCGAGAAACATGCGAGGAACAAAAAGATGCTGAAACCGTGGAGATGAACAGAAAAAACGGAAATCTTGTAGAAACTGTCGAATAAGAAAAGGCCTTGTTGGTCAAAGTAGCGACTAAGAAATGAGGAGCAGCCACGAAGTGAACAGTCTGAACAGGAGTCTGCCGTCACAACCGTCTAAACAGGGTCTGGCGACACTAGAGAATGAGTCCATGTGGTACGACGGCTAGAGATGGACTAGGAGCTAGCGAAGCTACAACCACCTACACCAACTGGCCAGGTGCCCTTAGCGCCACATCAGGGGTCATGGGAGTTTGCCGGCACTTCGAAACACGAGTATGCCAGCTGACCTCGTGGAACCGACAAACCAAGCAGAAGTAGCTAACAGCAAGCTGGAAGTCCCAGACTCTCGCACGAGAGCACCACTGTAAGACAATTTAAGGTGATAATCCGAAAAAGTTCAAAATGCAGAGAGAACGACGTGGTGGCGGCAGCAGGAGAGAGAACCAAAAAAGTCAGCTCCTCAGTAACGACGCGTCTTGACCAACCAGACCGAAAACACAGATATCACGAGGAAGTACTCAATCAATCCATTGCAGGGACCTACCCTTTACCCCACGTCATCAAGACATAAGTGCTCTAAGAGATTGCAATTCATAAGTTGTCTCTTGAAATGTACCGAATCTCTACAATCGAAGAACGTAGAAGGTAGAAGCGACAGCCAACGAGTTGTGCGCGGAATGAAACTGTTATGCCTGAGCTGCCTGTGGTGTTTACCAATCTTGTGCCCGTACATTTGAAAACAACCGCGACGTCCATTCGTAGGGCGAAAAATCCAAAATCTCGACGGGCGGAGACGAAGTTCACCTTTAAGTAACTTGAAAGCAAAACTAAGTCAGCAACAATCCTCCTATGGAAAAGACTCTTCAAATTCAATTCGCGAAGACGAACCTGATAGGGTGGTAACGATTCCGGATAACCAGAGTCAGGAAAGACCTTATAATACAAAATTCTAGTGAATGTCTTTTGCACTGATTCGAGCTTTCGAATGTCTTTCACAAGAAATGGGTTCCAAACCGGGCTACAATACTCCACGATGGGGAGTATATACGATTTGTAGAGTCTTATCCATAGTTTAAGCTCAGTGCAATGAATATTTCTGAATAAAAGGTAGACCAACCTTAGTGCTTTGTTGCTAATTTCTTGAACGTGTTCGCTCCAACTCAACTTCCTTGAAAGTATGATTCCTAAGTCTTTTACCCGCTCGCTATGTCGCAAAGGGGTCTTGTTCGGAAAGACAATATCTAGCGCCTTAGTTCCTAGGGAAAACAGCGCCGTTTTATTGTAGTTTATTTCGAGACCCCAGCACTCCGCCCACGCGAGCATTTTTTCAACGACCTTGTTCAGAGCTAGCTGTGCCTCAGATCTGCCGAGCTCCTCATAAGTTATCGCCACTTTCACATCGTCAGCAAAACAAGCCACGGATATTTTGCTGTCACTTTTGAGGAAATTGGGCAGATCGTACGTGTAAATGAGGAAGAGGAGAGGTGACAGGATGCCCCCCTGGGGGACCCCAGAGGTGCATTCTCTCACTGTTGATAGGCTACCTCCAAAGCGGACATTCATCTTCCAGCCATCTAGGTAAGACTCGAACCATTTCAAAGCCATATTTCTAACTCCAATGGACTCAAGCTTTGCCAGTAACTTGGAATGGCATACCTTGTCAAACGCTTTACTCATATCAAAATAAACAACATCTACATTTTTTCCACTGTTGAGGGCTTCCGTCCAAGAGTGCGTACAGTCTATGAGTTGCGTACACGTGGACGCACCGGGAAGGAAGCCGTGCTGTTCAGTGGGGATCAGCTGAAGTTTCGAAACCCAATGCAAAAGCTTTTCTTTCACTATCTTCTCCATTATTTTCAGCGGGGTCGGTAAGATACTTATAGGTCTAAAATTCGATATGAGATTGGAATTGCTAACTTTTGGCAGGGGTGTAACGAACGAATTTTTCCAAACGCTAGGAACTTCACCAAGAAGGAGACAAATATTGAGTATATGAGCAAGGGGGATAGCCAGATAATCGGAGAACTCTTTGTAGAACACTTGAGGTATGCCATCGGCTGTGGGAGACATGGACCGTTTCAAAGAGCGGAGATGTTTGAGCACTACCTGGGGAGAAACTATTGGCATTTCAAAGCATTCGTTAGAGACTGATGGCAATGATTGTATACCACTGCTTGCCTTTCCAAAAACACTGGCAAAGTAGTCCGCGATAGCTTCCGCTTTGGAAGCATCAGTTAGAAATTTAAAACTTCTAACCAGTCAATGTCAGAAAGGGCTTGCCTAATTTTCCCTTTATCGGCATGCAAGAAATCAATGAAGCGTGTCAATTTGTTTTGAAAGCCGCATTCGGATATATTAAATGAAATCATGTCATGGTCTGAGCTCCCAAAAGGTGCACGAGCTGAAATATCTGAGATGAAATTGCCGTCTGCCAAAATGATGTCAAGAATTTTATTTCCTCTAGTGGGAAATGTTACTAGTTGCTCCAAAGAAAGACTTTCAAAAGCACTAAGAAACTTTTGTGCTTCGGAGTTGAGCGCCACATGTGAACACCAGTCAATATTTAGGTTCAGATCCCCCAGAATGGTCACATGATGCGGAGAGGTCGAAACTAGGTCAGAAATCACTGTAACTAGCTGTTCATCTTGAGACAGGGTAGACTGTGGGGGGCGATATATGAGGAGAAACCTATGATTACGAGAGGATGGCAAAAAAACATCAAAGCAGAGAACATCGGCGCTAAGAACCTTACAATCGAACTTGACTTCATCATAAAGGAAAAAGTTGTGCAGGAGCGCACATACTCCTCCCCCGGTCTTCCCAACTCTATCTTTGCGAACTACTGAGTATGGGAAGACCGAGCAGAGTTCAGAATCAGCAATTTTGCTAGTTAGCCAGGTCTCGGTGATAAAAATAATGCCAGGTTTAAGTATTTCAATGAGACAATGGAGGTCATGAATCTTGTTCTTCAAGCTACGAGCGTTAAACAAGAAACAGGAAAAAAAACTCGTACGCGAATACACTAGTTTTTTGACAACGAAGGAGCATTGCTTCCCCTTTTGGCTAAATTTGGAATATCCTTAGTCTTCACAAGTTCACCTCTGTAAATTACATAGACTCGCTCACCTTCTTTCCTGTTAAGTTCACGTGCTCTCTCCCGTAATTCGCGATCTTTCTTGCGCTCATCAATAGTCATTGATTTTCTAATATATACAGGGGGGGGGGGCCAAAAAAAAGTCATTTTGCCTCCATGACTTTCAAGGCGCTATAAGTTACACTTTATTAAATTTTTATCGGACATTTTTACTACCATATTAAAGAGCACATTAAATACTATAATGATACTCCGCCACAGCCTTCTGGAGGAGCGCCATCGAGAGATTCGGCCGCGCGAAAGTGAGTGGGTACCGGAGTTGAGCGAGATCGTTGATTTCTCCGCCACCGTAGACCACCCTATCGAACTCCGCCGAACCAGGTAATTGAGGGGATTCAGGTCAGGGGGCATACTTCAATATTGCATCTTCTTCAGGTACGAAGCGCCCTTTCATTCGAAGTAGGAGAGAGTTTTTCCAAAACCCTTCGATTCCATGTGGTGGCACCAAAACCTGTAGCAGTACACGGTCTCCAAGAAGGTACGAGCGACAACATGTGGGGAGGATATTCTTCTCGAGTTGCTTGATGTAACCGCCAGCGCTCACCTTCAGTCGGGGTCTACAAAGAAAATATCGGTCTTCCCCTTTCCAGGTACCCCGGTCCATACCATCAACTCGCGCCTCGGCGAATACGGTGAAGATGATGTCCTAGACCGTAGCGACGTTGCCGTAGCTGCTCGATGTGGGAGGTCTTGCAGATCAAGAGTACTGACCTCCAGGTAGCTATCTGTGGATGACTTCATTCAAGAAGTTTCGCAGCTGTTTGGAGGCGACGTGAATTCCAAAGGTGTTCTCCAGTCAGGCCGCGACTGGAGATGACTTCATATTTTGGCGTACATGAAGGCGATTGGCGGCAGCGTGCTCCAGCTTATAGAGGAAGATCTTGGGTATCTTCCACTGGTACTCATATCCACTTCCCCTGTCTGGGCTGCGAAAACTTCGTTGATATGTGGCTCGGCCGAAATGACTTTTTTTGGCCCCCCTGTATATCCCTATATTCGTGCGTCGAGCGCAACCTATGTGCCTTAGACAAAATGTCAAAGGAAATACGTCTAGAATAAAAAACGCATTTAACAAGACGAGGCTTTCCCTCAACACCACGACCCATCCGATACACTTCGGCGGGACGGGTCTCGATGTTGAGGGAATCAAGTATCCCGGTGACAACCTTCTCCGTGTGTGCCTGACGCGCAGACGGAGAAAGATCGCCACCGGCTTCCGGAACACCATAAAAAACGAGTGATCTGAGCCTCTTATCCCTATCCACAGCCTCATTGATAATTAATGGTAACCTACCCAAAAACTGGTCCAACAGCTGGATAACCTCGGGCGCTTTTACAGAAAGAATACCATGAATTTTATTCAGTAATGTGATGCCATCCTCGTCGAGCAATGACGTGGGGACTAGATGGTTGGGTTCAGGGCCAGAGGGCGAAGTGAGCCCAATCCGTTTCTGGGTGGCAAAGGTGGACATCGCAGATAAATTGAATAGGCGACCGCTCACGGTGCACGCAGGCAGGTGAATGCGTGCATCCTAGTTGTCATGACCAAGGGTCATGACACCCTTTTAGTATTCCCCCAGTTACTGCTTCGATTCTCGTTGAGCTGCTGTTAACAAAATTCAGTTCTAACAAAATTCAGTTCTCTTAATAAGGCTTTTTCTTCGGAATTTGTTTATTTTTTCGTGTATATTTTCAGCCGCTTAGCCAGTTGTCGGTGGCATCACGACAGGGTGAGCCAGTTGGTGAGCATCATCGTCCGGTTGTACCGTCAGCACCTTCGGATACGCCGATGTCGATGTCGACGACGTCGATGGGTAGGCTGTTTAGCTGTTTTCGCAGTTGTGCCTCTTGCTCTCAGTCGTTTGGCTTTCTGCGATGAGATCACCCGTAAAAAATCAAAGAAATGACGTGAAAACAGCCAAGTGCGAATGCTTCACGCGATTGGCGGGAATTAGGACACTATCAGCACTTTTTTGACTTTGCGTATTCATTCGGAATTCCTATTTTAGAGGTTTTAATTTTCTTGTTCGGCTTGAACTTCTTGTCTTCTAACATTCAGTTTTCACCAACACTGCTTTGCTAGTTTAACAACAATATTGTGGTGGTGACTCACAGCTCTACTTGTTTTCTAAACATGTAGACAATCACTGACTACGTTTAAGTTCGCACTCCTTTTTTTTCTTTTTCACGCAGTGCCATCAGTCAGTCATGCAGCCAGCTGACGTTCTCTGCAGTTCACGTCTCTTAGTTGACCATGCCTACGACGCGGGCGGTCACTGCGCGACACTGTTGGACAGCATCAGCTCTCTATGGCTCCCAAATATTTCACATTTTATGCTTGCAGTTCCTTTGCGAACACTGCAGCATATGCAGTCCTGTTCGCTGCGGACGCTGGGACGTATCACGGGGGATTGGTTTGGGGCGGCACTAGTACGATCTCCAACAACTGTTAAAACGAGTGAGCGACAATAATCGGTGGAAAACGGCCTGGTGCCACGCCAAATCCGGCTTCCCTGACACGCTACACCATCCACAGCGAACGCGGCTACATAGAATATGGCGGCTATCGTAGGAACTTCTGGATGCGCCGATCCTGTCAGGCTCAGCCAACTAAGATACGTAGACTGTACTTATTCGGGATGGCCCTCAGGTTGGAGTCGCCATTCATGATAGTACCAAAAACATAAAACACTTCCCAGTGCTGATTTCACAGCATTTTTTCCAACAGCTACAGGTGCTGTAGTTTCGTCATAAATGGCCATTTTAACTTTGAAGCCATTGCTAATTGAGTAGATATGGTGATAGCTGCATAATACAAATCCAATTTATACTCGAGATCCCTGAGATCGGGTAGGCGTGGCTGCATTCTTCAACTTAACCTGAAGGTGTCTATGCTTCTGGTGGAATATTTCCATCTTGACACAACTGTTGTCGTGTCTCTGTCCAACACAGAACAAGATGACAGTTGTCCCAGACTGGAATATTCCACGAGTAACCAGTTCCGTGCCATGTTCAAATGCCACGCCTACTCTGGCTCAGGGATAAGGAGTGTATCGAGCACAAAGAGGATTCTGTCTCTAGGACTAGAATTCATTCATTTATCAATCAACAATCACCTCATTTTCAGCCCGTCCCACCTTTCTTAATCTGAAACCATTATATAGCGGAAAGTGTAGGTTTATTCCTTGGTCGTGCATTTCCACGGTGTGAATCCGTAGTCCCAATGTTGACAAATATCGATCCAATTTATCGGTTTTCTGCCCTTATGTATGATGATGTATTTGCATGCACGCACGTGTGGCTTTTGTGACAATTGGAATGCAGTCGATTGACCCTTTTTCGAAATTTTTCCTCCCAGAAGCGTTTTTCATTTTTTCCTTTTCTGGAAATTGTTGTGAGCATCACATGCACATCTTGTGGCACTGCTGCCACCTTTGAACTTGTCGGCTGATGTCCTGCCGAGTAGCACAACTGTAGCGCACTGCTGGGCAGGTCATTAACGAGTTCACCGGTAATGAGTGGATTTTGTCCCCCGTGTGAATTGTTAGCTGTGTTTTCTAAATATTTGCCGTTTTAGTGACTAGTCTCATAAGTCCGCTTAATGAGAAGTTATGTGGTATTGATGAAGAAATTTGTACAAAAAACGAGGTAGTCAATGTTTTCGTTACTATCTGTCAAGAAATGGTCCGGAGAACTAGCTTTTTGAGTTTCAGGTGCTCCCGGTTCGTTCATCAACGGTTCCCGAAACACTTAATTCGACTGCAGGCGGTGATGCGGTAGGTTTTGGTAACAGTAATTGCTCAGTAATTCAACTACACCAGGTCTTCTGCGAGGTGCTGAATATAGCAATAGTTATATGCGCCGTAGTTGCTCCAAAGAATCTATTACACGATCTGCCTGATTACACAGTCTGATCCCTCCTAGTGGTCTTCTATACTTTCCCAAAAGCTGGTGGCCGGCGCTGATCGATGCCAGAATCGATGTGCGTCATCGCGAAGTCTGAACGCTACCTTGTCGCTCTGTCGAGTTGAGTCATCTACTTACGATTGGCTGGTTCAGGTGCGGTGTGGCGCTCCGCACATGATGAACTACACCGTGATAGTGATATTCCATACGGAGCTTAGCGTATATGAGCAACACTGAGTTATCCCATTTCCTAATACCATCCTCTACGGTTATGCACTAACTCTAGCCGCACTACTCTTATTGTCCACATTGACCGCTTCGCAAACAGCATGCGTCCCCTTTCGATTTTTTCAAAACCCAGTGACTAATAATTACACCATGTGATCTGCTGGACATCAATCGATCCATATTTATTGCGTGTATGTTCAGGTGTACACGTCCGATGTAAGCAACGGCAACCTCTCCGTAACATCTGTACTTACCACCTCTTCAATTCTCTCTTCTTCTTCGACGGATGAAGAAAATCGGCCTGCTGACATGGATATTCTCCAATTGAATAACAATCCCCAATTGGGCAAAGAGAAATTGTATCTGGGCAGGTCATTAACGAGTTCACCGGTAATGAGTGGATTTTGTCCCCCGTGTGAATTGTTAGCTGTGTTTTCTAAATATTTGCCGTTTTAGTGACTAGTCTCATAAGTCCGCTTAATGAGAAGTTATGTGGTATTGATGAAGAAATTTGTACAAAAAACGAGGTAGTCAATGTTTTCGTTACTATCTGTCAAGAAATGGTCCGAGAGAACTAGCTTTTTGAGTTTCAGGTGCTCCCGGTTCGTTCATCAACGGTTCCCGAAACACTTAATTCGACTGCAGGCGGTGATGCGGTAGGTTTTGGTAACAGTAATTGCTCAGTAATTCAACTACACCAGGTCTTCTGTGAGGTGCTGAATATAGCAATAGTTATATGCGCCGTAGTTGCTCCAAAGAATCTC